GTGTGTGTGTGTGTGTGTGTGTGTGTGTGTGTGTGTGTGTGTTTGGTGGTATTATAGAGAGGAGGAACCTTACTGTGCATTAATTAAAACAAAAATACTGCTTTTTATTTTTATTTTGAAAGTGCTTGGCTGATGTTAATAAACCATCTGGGACTAATTTAATGGTTACTCCAGGGACTTTGGCAAATAAAAGGAGGCGGGGGGCTCCGAATGAGTAGCTTTAAAACCTGGTAGTTGGACTCTAGTTAGAACAAAGTCAGTTGAAAGCAACTCAGAAGGGCTTAAGGAAAAAGAACTTTGGGCACAGATACAATCGAGGAGGCCAGGTCTGGATTCAGACGTCGACTCCAGGTTTAGACGCCCTCACGGCGTCTTGGGTCCTGCCCTTGTCTTTTACCAGTTAGTTTCATTTATCAGGCTTCCCATAAAGGTCCTAATAGCTCCAAGCTCTCTGCTCAGGGTGGCAACGCGGCTCCAGGGCTCCAGCTCTCTGTACTTCCAGTCACTCTCCATGGGGGGCGGTGCAGCAGGCTCTGCGGAAGTCTCTGGCTGAAGGGTGTGTCCGGGGCAGAACTCTTCACTCTGATGAGGAATGGAGCTAGTCACAGAAGTGAAGCAACGGAAACAGGAAACGCAATTGACCATAAAGAGAGCGGCGGTGGGGGTGGGGAATGGAGGGAGTGCGGGATGCGGAGTAGGGGGGTGGGAGGTGGGAGGGAGCCCGGGTCGGATGTCTGCACAAAACTGGAATCTCTCATTAGAAAGAAAAATTAAAAAGAAGTTCTAGTGAATAAAATTAAATGGTTTCAAAATGGCCCAGAGACAATAATAGGACAAAGGGACAGTTTAGGAGATTGAAAGGCACTTAAGGTAGTCAGGCCCGCTGTGTGTCTGGAGTCAAGCGTGGAATCTGGTCGACAGCTCTGAAAGCTTCACTGGCCACCAAAAAAGGGCATTTCCTCTCTCAATGTAACATTATTTATAGTACACCTTTCATAAAACAAACAAACAAACAAAACAAAACCAACTGCGATTCCTATGGCTTCTGGCTCTGAACCACAATCCTTCAGGGAGCTTGGAGCCAGGCACTTAGCATGGCCACCCTGGCTCTGTCTGTGCCTGTTCAGGGTGGCACTCCTTTGGTGGACAGTGTTTCTCTGCATCTCTGTCTGAACTGGCTGAGGTTTTTCCAGATCTGCTTTCTAGTCTGTCTTGGGCTGAATCTCCCAGTCACTGCCTGGGAAGTCGTGCATGGGCACTGTTAGGTAAGTCACAGGATCTTCTTGTGTGATGGGTCTAGGTCCCTCCATTTCCTTCTCGAGCGGGCCCACATCTAGTAAATGAGAATGTTAGATGTTAGGGAGACACAAGAAGGGATTAGCCAACCTTAAATGATGGAGCAACCCCGAGAACCCAGTCCTGTGTGGTGGACTTTTTATATTATATAAAATTATATAAGATTTTCAAGGGATTGTAGCTTATGTATGGAAAACTATATAAAACATAAAATGCACAAAGTCAATGGATTTTTAACATGATACCCTTTCACTTACCACCCAGACGAAAGAAAAAAGAGAGTTCTCTCTCCCTCCTATAGCCTTTCAAAGTTCTCTCCACAAGTTTCTCATTCCGAGTTTAATGGAGGAAGCAAACGTGTCCATCTCTTCTCGTCAATGAACCACCAGATTGGAAAAGGCACACGGAGACTTCTTTGGAATCATCCCGTTTGTTTGCTTTAAGCGCAAAGAGCAGACTTTATCTTTAAAGCTGGCTTCAACTCCCTGTTATATTGCTGAGGCTCCGACTAGGAGGAGGAAATAGAGAAAAGGCAGAAGTTAAATTTTGTCCTACCCTTGTTTGGAAGCCTGATCTTGATAAGCAAAGAATGTAATTAAAACGGATTACAGACTATTAAACACACGCAAGAACAAAATGATTGCAGTGTGTGCCAGTCAGTAATTAAAGCTCTAGAGGAGGAAAAAGTCACCATCACTTAAAATGATTATTTGTCAAGGTTAGTAACAAATATTGACATGCAAGCTTTTTTTTTTTTTTTCTCTCTCTCTCCCCCTGTTCTTGCTTCTTAGAGGCAGGCACTCAGCAATTAGTGGCGCATATTCCAGAATCAATATGGCCTTGGGTCTAAAGCAGAGAGATCCATACATTTTAAAATTAGCGGGCAGGATGGCAGGCAGACTCCAAGTAAGAGAACTGCTTCCAGCATCATTCAATTAGTGCTTCAAAGACAAAGAGGAACCCGTCAGGGCAGCATCCCCTTAAGTGGGTTTATCTCAAAGATGTTCTTAGGATAGCCATGGGGAGGGACTTCTTCATGTCAGTGGGACTTGATGCTTTATCTTTACGATTGAAACAACTGGAGGCATGGAATAGACTGTTGCTTAAATGTGTGGTTCAGTGATGAGAAGCCTGGACTCTGAGGTCAGACTTCCTGGAGTCAGATTTGAAAATCTTCCATTTTGTCTAACAGATTTTGAGTAAGTTCTTCATTCTTTTTCATCTCTTTGTTCCCTTTTCTGTGAAATGAGAATAATAATCAAATTGACCTTATACAACACTGAAAAGAACAAAGATCATGCAAGCAAAAGTCTTGGAATGCAGTAAGAGTTCAAAATACATACACCATTCCATTAGTGAGGACAGGCTGGGTTATGACACAGTACCATGTAAGCCCCCAAATCCCACTGGCTTTACTCAATGAACTGAATTTCCCACTCAAGCTGTGTTCTTCCCATAGGGCAAGACAGGTGAGGAGCAAACCGGGGCCATGCTTCTCATAGCTACTCTGAAGCTTTGCACTCTGTAAGTATGCTACAAGGAATAGTCACAGAAACAGGAGAAGCCCACCAAGACGTTTCATTGCCACCACCCAGGAGACACAAATGTGAATGATAACTTATCTCACTGAGCAGAGCTAGTTGACTAAGAATCAAGTAGTTTACAAAACATTAATAGCAGAAAGAACACTGTTCAGTGAGGGCTTTTTCTCTGCCATTTGTATTTTCAACCACCACCACCACCACCACCACCACCACCACCACCACCACCACCACCAATGTTATAGGTGTATAAGGGCTTTTACCATATGAGTTTGGAGAACGTTTAAACCTATGATACAGCTGGATCCCCAAAGAACTCAATCTCCTCACCCAGTACTCATGACGAAGTCACAGTATTCTAGGTTAGAACACAGGGATGGACTTGACCAAGTAAGGGCTTTCCTCCCATGCACCTTTTGGTACAATAATGATGCAACCAATTAAGTAGAGCAGACAATCTCTGTAGCAGGAGGCTCTAGCAACAGACAGCCAGTGGGTGTTAGAAATGGGTGCACGTGGTGAGAAGGTGCCAGTCTGAGGGAGAGCTGTAGACATTTCTGGGCAGAGGGAAAACTCAATGGATCCCAGGGGCTGGAAACACAGGCAATGTGGCTGGAGGGTAGGGGGTGACAGGAGAGAGGTGACAGAAGGGACCAGGAGCCAGCTCAGTGGCCGTGAGAAGAGGCTTGGCGTTGACTTGCAGAGGTGTGTGTTGGGGGGACGAAGGGAAGGGACTTACAGATTTGCAGCAAGGAAAAGCAGCAACCCAACCAAACTCTTTGCAAAGATCTCTGAGCTGCTGGTGAAAGCAAGGGATGGGAGGAAGGCCAAGACTGGGAGGAGGGGGAAAAGTCCTCCTCGTGGGACGTGGGGGTGACGTGGATTGCACTGGGGCAAGAGGGAGATGAGGTCACATCTGGGGACATTTTGTTTGTGGAGCAGTTGGTAATGGAATTAGCATCAGGACTGCCTGCTTTGCTCGTACTAGTTCCCCGACGTCCAAACAGTCATTCCAAGGATCCATTGAAACCACCCATTTTTGGATGGGGCCATGGGATCAGTGATGCCCCCAAACTCTTGGGCTTCTCAGAGTCCCCACACATCTCTCTACAAAGGCGTGACAGAGTCCTTGAAAAGGTCGGTCTACAGTGAAATTAAGCCAATGCTTATTGAACCGGCAAGATGCCTGCTACCAATCTCTTGGTCTTCAGATTTCCTGTCCAAACTTCAGTAACTTCCTGCCTTGTGCCAATAGCCTCATGTTCCAGGCTGCATGTGGATTAGACTCTTCCATAACATCATATGTGAAGCTTAGGTTTTTAGCAGAGGCAAGGGTAGGCAATTCAGGCAGAGCCCCAACCTGGCGCTGGGCTCCACTCTCACCTGCTGTGAGTAGGGCCTGGCTAACACTCCTGGATTCCCTGCAGCAGCTGCGGGCCCAGAGTTCGTGTGCCAGGCACGGGGCCTCCAAAGACAGAGGCAGCGAAGTTCCTGGTCCCAGTCAGCTTACAAGTTAGTGGGAAGGACCCCAGACATCACTCTTATGTCTAGCCTTTGTGACGATTCTCCACAACATTTGGGAACCTTCCCCTTTTCCAGAGTTACGGGGGGAGTGGGTGAATGGTTGGTATGGGAACAGCTGCCGTTTTGTAGACCTGAACCCTGGTGTTCACATGTGACGGGGCTTTGGGATTGTTTTGGTCTGATGTTCCCTTGGTATCCTCTCTTTGGAATAGGGGTGTTTACTCAGTGCCACTGTAAACAGAAAAGATGAAAACTCTTTTATGGGGCTTACAATTGAGAGATTACCTCACATCTCAAGGCATACTTTGGACTTTGGCCCTTTGAACAGTGTTAGAACTACTAAGACTTAGTGGACTCCTCCAGATGAACTAAATTCATTTTGCATTATGAGGTGGCTGGACGTTGGGTGAGAATTGGGGTGGGGGAGTCACTTACATAGTCTAGCCCCAGAGGGGTCTAAGGACGGAGGCTTCTGGCACCTGCGGCCTTTACAGCAGGTGGTGGGTCTGCAGCCCAGACAGAGGGTAAGTAGGAGTTTTCCAGAAGGTAAAACATGCTGCGTAGCACCTGCGCCATCTGGAGCTCCATGTATGTTAGCTTTTGGGATCAACATCCTCTTATGCCACCATTACAAACACACCACCTCATCCTTTAGCTCCTGCAGTTCTCCAACATGGGCTCCAGAACCAGTGCCTCTCCCCAGACCTCATGCATGGTCCAGCTCTTTAGCTAACACCCAACAACACTTAGGTGTCTGGCTCTTTAGACCTAGAGAAAACAGCCTCAGGCCTTTGGCATCTCTATCCCCTTGAGGGATGCTAAGAACGCGCAGAATGCCAGGTAGCTTCACCTTGATGAAAGCTACCCAGACTCAACTTATCTTTAGCAATGAAGCAATGGGACATCTCTGTAACCCACATCCTTGGGGCAGACAGGCCACCTGGATAATGCCTACCTGCCAAGGTGACTAGTGTGCTCATTACTGAAGTCTGACAGAGCAGTAATGAGCCATTCTCCTGTGGGGTCATACCCCTCCCCCCAACTAACAACATGTAGGTCAAATCACATCAGGGGCAACTTTGGGGCACCCTTCAGAATCATCGTTCCTAGAGCAATTCCTTTGCAATATAGGTCGAAATAAGTCATCTTAGGGCTGGGAGTTGAAATAGTATGTCACTTCTACTTTTAAAAAAATGGTTGCACTTTTTCCAATCTTGGTCTCAACAATTCTCGCTCATACAAACCCTCCTCTTTCTCACCAATTGGACTCCTGGAGCAGTTTTTTAAAACGTCTTTGGCCATTTCATAGATAAATGCAATGCATTATGATCAATCTTCTTTGTCCCTTCTTATCCTTCTCTCACTCCTGGTGACACTTTCGTTCTCCCCAACTAGCTTTCTTTCTTTCTACCTCCATGTCTTTTTTTGTGACCCACTAGGTGTAATTACAGGTGCTTGATAAGCATAGGTAGGGGGTTATTTACCCGAGTGTGGACAACTTTCCATGGCTATACCACAGGGAAAGAGACCCTCCTCCCCTGGTTACCATTAGCTGCCAATAGCCCCGTGGGACTGGGGATGGGGTGGGGCTTATAAGCTCCTTCCTTCCTCTGTGATGGAATGCTGAAGGGCCTGTGCAGGGCTTGTTCAGGTCACCAGAGTTTCTGTGTGCTCATGATTTCCACAGCCATTCATATTCAGAAGGGAGCACCTCCTAGCAATCCTCCCACCCTCCAGATACTACACATCTACTTTGACCACACGTCTGAAAGGTCTAAAATGGAAAGGCTGTGCATTTACACTACACACTCACAGGCAGTAGAGAACAGATGAAGAAAAGCATGCCTAATCTTAATGCAAGCGCCGTTATTATTTTGGTATGATTTCTTCCTGATACTTTCTGAGTGTCTTAAAGATTTATAACCATACACATCTAGTATTCTATCTTTTTTTTTAAATGTAGATTTAAGAAGTCTTTACTGGGATGCATCACCATACTAGATTCAGTGTTAAACACTAAGAATTCAGTAGAAGGCTAGAGAAATGACTCTGTGATTAAGAGCACATGCTGTCCTTTCAGAAGTCTTGAGTTTGGATCCCTTACCCACTTCAGGTGGCTCACAACCACCTGTAACTTCTCTTCAGGGGATCTGACACCTCTTCTGACCCCCACAGACATCTGCATTCACACACACACACACACACACGTACACACACATGCACACTTTAAAAAAATAAAATAAATAGTTTTTAAAAATAATTCCATGGAAAAATAAAGCAGGAAATGTTAACTAGGGGGAACAAAGAACTGGGATATGAGAATGCAAGTATAAGGCAGAGATTATAGAAACACCTTAGACTAACCCTCAACCTAGAATTGGAGGAAGTACTCAAGGAAGGCTTCCTGGAGAAGGGGCTCAACAGTGAACTTAGCAAAGAATTGGAAAGGATGTTCCATATGGAGGGAGGAGTATGGTTCATGGTATGGGAAGGACCATAGGTGCTTGGAAGATTTGTCAGGAAGCCAGCTCAGCACAGTGGTAGTCTAGATTATGTATGTCCCGGACTGGATGATGTTCTCTCTGGATCCACGCGTTGAAGCCTGAATGTTCAGCTCTGTTTGAGGCAAGCCTTTAGGGATGTGATTGGTTAAGGTTAAGTGAGATAATAGTGAGAGGACCTGCTCCACTGAGACCCAAGGTAAGGAAAGATCGTGGGAGGGTACCAGGATAAGGTGGCCAGCTCTGAGCTAGGATGGGCCTCTCCAGAAGCCAGCCCCACTCAAACCTTGATTTTGCATTTCCAGCCTGCAGAGTTGTGAGAAAGCAGTCCAAGTCACCCAGCCTGTGGCATTATAGGGTAGTACCTAGGCATCTCTCTTTCGTGATCCCAAAGGCCACATGAGTCAGGGCTCTTCAGAGAAACAGAATCAATTGGATTTATATTGGGGGAGATGTTTACTATATGGAAATGACTCATGTAATCCAGAGGCTGGCAAATTCAGGATCAGCAGGGTGCATGTCCCAGCTTGAAGGCTGTCAAGCAAGTAGGTTCTCTCACCAAAAGGGAAGGTCAACTTCTTGTTCCCTTCCGACCATTGATTGACTGGATAGGGTGTATTATGCATGGGTAATGGTAATCATACCCTAGAAATCATCAGAACCATGTTTGATCAACTAGCTGGGCACCCCATTGTCCAGTCAGATTGACACATAGGATTAACCACCACAGACTCTTTGATAAGGAAAGGTAAGGGAGATAGGGGTGAGGCAGGGGGCCAGAGATCGTCATAAACAGCCCTTTAAGCAAAACTAACAAGTTTGAGCTTACTCCTAAGGTCAAGGGGGAGGCACTGGATGGATTTACTCAGGCAATGACAAATACAGTGTCCCCACATTAAGAATAAACATCGAGAGCTGGATGTGGTACAACATGCCTATAATTCCAGCACCCAGAAGGCAGAGGCCAGAGTGTCTCCAGTTCAAGGTCAGCCTGGGCAACACCAAAAGATGCTGCCTCAAAAATACAAATAGAGAATAAGCCCTGGGGCTGCTGTGTGGAGACACATAGAGAGCTGTCCTGTGCAGCTGAGCTGGTTGGACAGCACAGACTTCTGTGCAGGCCCCATCCTCATCTTGGTGTGTGCGTGTGGGAATGGCGTCTCATGGAACTTCTCAGTGCACTCGACGGCCCCTCATTCACTGGAAAGACAGGAGTAGGGGCAAAGGAAGCATACAGCTGTGGGAATACTGGGAGTCTCACGACAGCCGTCACGTGGTGGCTTCCACCTCAGGGACAAGATGTGACACTTTTTTATTGATTGATTTTGCTATGAGTTCACACACGTATATCATGTCTTCTGGTTACTTCCCCTCATCGTTGTCTCTTCCCTTCCTCCTGTCCCCATCAACCCTCCTCATCCCTACCGGTTCCTTTCTCCAAAGAATGACTTTGGTTTTGTTTTGTTTTGTTTTTTAATGACCCACTTAGTCTAGGCAGGGCCATCTGTGTGGCTCTTGGATCGGGTCACCAGCGGATGTACAGCTGAAGGTAACGGCTCCCCTCTCCCTGCATCTACAAGGAGCAAATAGAGCAGCGGTGAGTGGGAGGGCTCCCTGAACCGAACCCCTCCTCCACCCATGCCTGGTCACTGATGGGCCCCTTCTCAGGCAGACCCAAGTGCAGCTGTGGCAGTTGGAATGTCATTGGCCCCCATAATCTCATAGGGAGTGTCACTATGAGGAGGTGTGGCTTTGTTGGAGTGGGTACGGCCTTGTTGGAGAATGTGTGTCACTGTGGGAGCGGGCTTTGAGGTTTCCCATGCTCAGGATACCTCCCAAGTCTTTCAGTTAACTTCCATTGCCTGCAAGATGTAGGACTCGAAGCCTCAGCACCATGTCTGCCTGCATGCCACCATGCTCCCCGCCATGATGATAATGGACTGAACCTCTGAACTGTAAGCCAGCCCCAGTTAAATGTCTTCCTTTACAACAGTTGCCAAGGTCATAGTGTCTCTCCATAGCAGTAGTAAGCCTAACTAAGACAGTATGTAAGGATGTGACTTCTTGACCATTTTCCTGATGTCATTTACAGGTATGTCTTGCCACTGTGAATCAGATGTAAGCAAATTTGCTCTGTAGTCAAAACACCTCCCACAGGGCCATAGAGATCACTATGATAATGGGAGAAAACAGCTCAAAGCAATTGCCCTGGAAAGTAAGCGTGACCCGTGGTTGTCCTAGGCTGAGAACGAAGGACCGCCTTGCCTGTCCCCATCTCGGTCTGGATACCAAGCCCCACTCTTCAGGGGGGAGTTTCATTTCTCGGGACTCAGGGACCAACTGAACATGATGTACCCACCTGGTGTCAACAAACTCTTCAGTTTCTCTCTGCAGATGGAAACCCAGTCATTTTTCTGCTTCAGCGAGATGAATTGCACAGCCCATGCTCAGTTCTGTTCTCTTCACATCTTCAGTAGCAAGAGAGGGCAGCAAACATTCCACTCTCCCCCAACAAAGTGACTGTGATCTCACACGGAGGACTTTTTTTTTTTGTTTCTGTTTTTATCTTGATGTGATTACAGTCTCTTTTGAAGCTTTGAAGATAAGACTTCCAGACACAAAAGAGCAGAGAGGACAGAATAACAGATATTCATCTGCTGTGTTTGGAGGAAAACAGAAATAATGGAATACAACGCCGGACTTTCAAAGTCCCGTGCCTGCCATATTGAAGTTTTCTGAAGCAGAGGCTGACCCAATGGTCTTCGCTCTAACATTGAGATATCTGCTCTCTGCCTGCTGCTGGGGCTGAACCCAGTGGGATCATCCAAAACAGAGGGTCATGAGGCCTCAGCTTTAAAACTATTCTTATGTTAGAGGAAGGTCCCTGGGTGTCTTTTCAGATAGTGTGGGTGGACCACTAACTGGGACTGCAAAGTGGAGTCAAGGCAAGCTTGCCCCAACTTGGCAGTGAACGTGAGACAAACTCCTTCCCTCAAGCACAGCAGAGGAAGGGTGACTTGCACGAGGGATGCTGATCTCAGGTCTCCACGGAGCAAGAACCACAGGTTATGTGATGAAGGATCAAGGAACTTCCTTATGTACTTAGAGGGCCTTTCTCACTGCAAAACTGCCTACGGGGGTTGACCAGCGTGTCTGAGGTGGCTGTACACAGGAAGGGATGTGGGAAAGCATCCTATGAATGGGACTCTCTATTCCGAGGTCACGCTGGCCACTGGTCAGGAAGTTCCACAAGATTAGGAACCGAGTGTATAAGCATGGTAGGGACGGTGGAACTTGGGTCAATTCTGGGTTGTCCTTGAGAGCAACTGAGTGACTTTCTGCAGGGGAGGGGGGGAGAGACTGCCTCTCTGCCAGTCTGCTGCTCTTGTCACGAGGAAGTGGGGGCACCATCTTGGCTAAAATTAAATCAGGCCTTGCCTCCCTCCCAGCCCACCATGCAGGCTAGGCATGAACCGGGCCAAGGTGTTAATGCAATTAGGGTGGTGAGCTGGGGCCCAGCCACCCGCCGCCTCTCTGACTCATCTGCTATCATGCCCTCCAGGTGACCCATGGCATCCTCCCCGGTTGTCCTTGATTCTCTCCCTGGCACTTTGCCAGCAGGAGAGGAAAATTCCCATGATGACTGGTGAAGGAGATCACGACTCATGAAGAAAAGAAACACTTGACTTTAATGTTTTTCCTGTCTCTTTGGGATACACTGGGGCCCATGATTTCATGGGGGGGAATGATCAGGTCCGTGAGGGGTCAAGAAGGTCAAGAAGAGGGCCTGACCCTTCATATGTGTTCCACAAATCACATGTTCTCTTCACCCTTTTTTTTTCTTACAACTGTTTTTTATTATTACTAACGTACCCAACTTTCCCTAGGCCTGAGCCCACCTCCTAACTGCCATGTTGTCTTGGACT